ACAGTCATCGTGATTTCCTCGCAATAGTACTGTTAAATGGAATTTGAATAAATAGGATTATATCACAAAGACATGACACCGTTTCACAGCGGGGTGCTTGTGTCCTTTGTGTAAGTGGCATCATTACACTTAGAATTTGCTGTGTTGTATATTGCTTACAGCCACACTCTGCTGCAGCTTTTTCTTCCTTCCAGTAAGCATGAAGAGAAAACTTCCTTACATTTCAACCCTTTCCACTGTGCTGTTTCGGAGCGGTATAGGCAGCAGGAATTGGTTTGGCAGAGAGGAACACTTCATGGCATCCATGCAATCGTTAAAGTGATTTACTGAAAGACCTTGAAACTTCAGGGACATTCTAACAATTGTACACATGAAGGTCATTTTACTAGCCTTAAGTACTACTTAGCCTGAAACATTGTTGTGTAATGTCTTCTATGGGGTTGAAACTTCTCAGTGAAAAAAACCATAGTGATGTCGTCAGTGTTATCTTGGCTTGCACTGGGAGACTAGAAAGTTTGTAAGTTTGGATGCCTCGGGACGTAGAGTTTAAAGGACGTAGGCGTTTGTCAGGCATGGAGCATGGATGCTGTCTATGCATCGTCGGGATTGTCTGACAGAGCCTGACCCATACTAGAGACTACAAGTCATGATGTCTCCCCCACTTTTGTCTCAAACAAGTTGCCAACTTGCGATGCTAAATCAGTGAACTGCTTGTAATGTTGTTCTAGAATTTAAAACATGGGCATTTAAAGCTGCAGTTATTATTATTTTTGCCTGCGTGAGGACAAACACAAAATGTACGTTATCACCTAACAAAGATGATTTAGTGGATTTTCAGAACACACAGGATGTTTTGCTTTACCCTTGTATTTATGTTATTACCATCTCTAATGCCATTGTGTGCAGGGCTCGTAGTGTGCAGTGAGTTTTCTTGACAAATCTGAAAACTGCTGTCTGATGCTGCTGGACACACAACTCATAACTAACGTCTAAACTTGAATTCAGCATACATTATAATCAACATTAAAGGTGGGGTAGGTAAGTTTGAGAAACCGGCTTGAGATACACTTTTTGTTATATTCCATGGAGTGCTCTTAACATCCCGATAGCAATGAATATCTTAAGTGCTTTGACAAAAAATCCATACAAAAACGTCATCTGTGGAAGCCGTAGCGCTGTAAAAAGCACGACCAATCATCTGAGCCGGCCCGGCTAAAGTAACTGGATGGCCTTCCTGCCTGTCAGCCTTCCATCTGTGCACAAACTTATCTCGTGCCCTCATTGGTCATGTGCGCGTTCGTGTGTGTTGGAGGAGGGGCTCTGTAAGGAAGTGGCATATTTGTTCCGGCTGTGTATTTTCAAATTCTAGCCACTCGAGCTGGTTTCTCCAAAATGACCTACCCCACCTTTAAGTTGTGCATTTCTGACAATGAATATCTAATTGTTCTTTTTCCCATGTGTGCTTTGAATAAATGTCTGCTGGAGAATGCCAATAAAGGCATAAGATTTCAGTCAAACCTTTAACTCTAGAAAAGTTGGGCTGCATTTGTTGAATCAAGACATGAATGCACACTAGAGCATTGTAATCTGACTTGATTAAAAAATGCCAGACGAAGCTGTACTTATCCTGCATTAGGTTTTAAGAGGAGCTAATTTGTATGTAGTTTAGGATTAAAGTGTGTTATGGAAATCTGAGACCCAACACTGTGGAGAGTACAAGTCAGAGTGATCAAAACAAATAAATGGTGAATCAGACAGAGTTGTCTTTCTGGTTATTTATTTGAAGCTTCAAATACATAAGATACAATAAAATAGACACAGGTCTCACAGAGTATAGAATAGTCTGCGTGAGTGTGCGCAGATATAATAGGAAAGCAAAGCTTATATACAAGAAAGGGTGAGAAGTTCAGAAATCTGTCTTCACACGGTCACATTGTTATTAGACACCTGTCCTTGAGCTGTAGTATAACGGTTCTCAGGAAAGGCAAGTTCTTGTGTGACTTTGTGTGAGTCTCAACCCAGTAGCCAAATCAGCTGTGTGGCCTTGAAGTGCTTGGGAATAAACCCACAGTAGAGTAGATAGAAGAAAACAGCACATCTCAGGAAATGAGAAGCATTTGGTTTAAACATATAAGGATATAATAAAAATGTCCACTACAAGTGTGATATCTCTACAATGCGTCTCTTCTCTGTCTCCAAGTTATCTTGTTATTACACATACCGTACAGGTTGGTGGATGAGCACTTAGAGACCAAACATATAATAATCCTATTTCTATTTTATGAGGCTCAAGTGCAGCAGGTGCTTTTTAAGCTAAGTAAAATTAGGCAGACATTTCTGCATCATGTATCTTCCAGAAATTCTTCATCCTTTTGCGGGTTGCCTATCCTTCTCTGTAAACTCTTAAACGTCAGACACACACACACATACAAGTTGTAAACAAGTTCAAGTTGTTTACGCAAAATTGTGTCATGTCGCTCTGAGGGTCTCTGCTGCCAACTTGACCTGCAATAACCTCCTTAACATTTGGAGAAGACTTTGATCGGTGCTTCATACACACCTCAAAAGAGTAAACATGTTTACAAAGTTACATTTTGCATATATTTTCTCTAGAAAATCTAACTAATATGAGAAAAATGATTCTGAAACACATGTGATGGTGCAGTTTGAGGAGGGTTGTGTCTAGCGATAACATTTGTAGGTAATAATGTCAGTGTTATGCATTGCCCAGCTATGACACTACAGTAGGGCTCATGAGATGGACCTCCGATGCCCACTCTACTGCCCTGCTTACACACTTGCCTTGATGTTGAGTCCACTTGACAGGAACCTAAGAAGAGTGTTTCACACATGCTGAGTGAAGCTTAACCAAAGTAAACCACCGAGCTGCCCTGGTTAGGGTTGGACATCAACAAATTATCTGGGCCATTGCTGTGCAGATAAATGCAGAAATAGTTTGGTTTATGGAGAGAAAAGGGGATGTGAAAGCACTTTAGTGGCCTAAATAATATGCTGCTTTCCCCTGAATCATTTTCGCCACTGGCAAAAACCTTTAAGGTGATGTCCAGACGGAGCAGCTGGAGTTGAATTCCCTTCAAATTACTCAACATTTGACTCTCACGGAATAGTCATTTCAGCTATCAACATGAAAAGGATTCAAAGGCTGCGCTGAAGGGCTCCCATGGGAGTCCTCACAGAGATTCAAAGCCGCTAAAAGGGCTTGCAGAAAGACTCCCACCATGGGTGCCACTTTACCACACATTCAGGGAAGACTGCAGTAATGCCGTGTCCACCGAAAATAGGACAAACATAACTTGTCCTAGCTTATTGTGCAAGACCTGTAAGCTGAAATTGCTTGCACCAACATGAGCTTTCCAAATGATCTAGTTTCCAAACTCTTCCTCTGCCGAGGCTTTAATTACTTCTGCTGGGCCAGCGCAGGTGAAGCACATTCTCACTAACAAGGTGGTTTCCAACGAGGGAGCACTGAAACCCAACAGGAAAACAACATGATGGAGAGAAAAACTGGCGCCCACAATAGAGAGTAACTGATGCTTATAATAACCCCCCACCCAACTGATTTCACCAGCCATTGTCAGATTGTTACAGACGAAACATGGTGCAAGTGGAGAGGAATCCATGGAATGTGACATCCACTGAAAATAAAGTGTGCTCTAGTTTTCACACATAGTGCACACACATATGCCACGGTGTGCATATGTGCATGCCTGGGTAGCACTAAAATATGTCTGATGTTAGGAACACAAAGTCTTCAAATGGCTTCTCATTATGTGAGATTATGTCAGATGAAAGCCATTAGGACCTGAACACATGTTAAGATGTCAAGGGTCATACCAGCAATTACAAATAAATAAGTTATCATTTGTAATTAAAGAACTCATGATCTTCACATCATCAGATGCTGCAGTTAATGTATTCTGCCATCATCTGATCGTGTCTGCCCTTATTCAGTAAGTCGGTCAGCAGCACAAACACAGGAGTGGTTTAACAGCACAGACTAGTGGTGACTCTTTGTTATGGCTTCTCTCTCTACAATCACAACATTCTATTGTTAACATCTCAGTCCATTTCTCTGAAAAATATCATGCTTGCAACTTGTTTGATCCAAAGTGTGTTACACTGTAACTCAGGCCTAACAAACAAGAATCAAGGATAGGATTTTACATTTACAAACATTTATAAACCGTATACTGCGGTGGCTATTTTAAAGCACTACTTTAGAAAGTTATTTGTCCAATGCCTCAAAGTTAAACAGGGGATGGATTTCATTACAAAAATAACTGCAAGTGCACATGATCCTTTGAGACTCATCCACCAGCTAAATTCTATTTTGCTCTGACTTAGTGCACGCTGCTGCACATAGATGGCAAAAGAATTCTGGTTGACAGCTCTGGGTCATTGCAGTCACAAATCATGGAATTTGTGTGTGTGTGTGTGTATGTGTGTGTGTGTGTGTGTGTGTGTGTGTGTGTGTGTGTGTGTGTGTGTGTATAGGTTCTCTTTGCTTACGTTTCACACACCTCTGTGCTAGTATTTACACATGTGTCCTAATGCAACCTCCTTGATCTGTGGGAGTGTGTACTTTTCATACTGAGGTGTTGAATGTTTTTTTCCTACTCCGACTTTTCAGCCCCTCACAACACGTATGGCTTGCTGGTATAAAAACCTTTAAAGACCCCAATATAGAAGTTGAGCTGGGGCTGTCTTTTTGACCAATCGTGCTTTTTGGAACAATAACCGCCCATTAATTGTGTTTATGTCATAGCGATAAGTTTGACATTTCTAGTTATTGCACAGACACACTGATGCACAGGCAAATTCAAACAGAAGACAAAGGGAACTTAGTTGAAACCCAGGGTCGGCTTTAAGAGTATTAAGTTCTGAAAGGCTAAGGCTCTGCTCCTAATCCGTTTCCCACTTTTCCTCTTCTCTTCCCCATCCCTGTTTGCGCTCTCTGTATCCCTCCTTCTTTCTTTCAGGAGAATTCTGGGGAGATTTCTTACTCTTTCAATCCCCAAGTATGGAGCAGCACAGTGGACCTGTGCACTAAAACAGGTACGTACTGAAAATCACAATGACCTTCAAACAAACACATGTGCACACATACATCTTCTTTCCCCCCTGCTGTCAAAAGCACATTTGTTCTGGGCCACAATGGTGTATGATGTATGTAGTTAAAAGGCTGTGCCATGTCCACTGAGTAAGAGAGAGGGTGGAATCCTGCTTCTGAGAAAGAGAGTGAAGAAAGCACACAGAAAGACTTTTCCTGAGGGACGGAAAGAACTTAAGAGACTGTCGAGAGGATGGAAGTTTAACCAAAAATCACCTCCCCACAAGAGTGGCAAATATGCAGTGGATAGACTTGAGGAGGGACATGCAAAGAGACAGACCGGCAGACAGGACAAGACAGAGCGACGATCCCCAGCTGTTTTTAAAACCCTGCCTCTGATACATTATTGAATATGCAGCTCTCCAACGCATCGCTGAGCTTTCCTCTCATGTTAGTTCACATAGCGTCACCATTCTAAATATAAAGAATTCGCTCAACCCTCTTCGGTTTGTTAAAAGATGCAGGGGCTGCACGTTGGCTGTGTATTGCACCGAGTGGCACTTTCCTTTTCTGAAGCTGGCTGGAGTTTTGTGATGAGTTTGTGTGACTCATTTTTGTAGCAAGCCTTTGCAGACTTAAAAGAAATTTAAAAAAATAGATTTCATCAACATCTTTGAAAGTATTCTTAGATGATGCACAGAGTATACTGAGGCAAATGGAGTGCTTCACTGGGAGTTGCATGTACTGTACACTGAAGGAAGTGAGATGTTGTCGAGGGGATTGATTTTAAATCAGACAGCATGTGGAACACTGCAGATTTACGACGATTGAGTGCAGCAATATCTTTATTTGAATAACTCAAATATATCACATTTCATACCTCTTGTCCTCTCCATTTAAAAAGTTGGATTTGGATGGATTTTCTAAGGTCACTGTCCTAAGACTTTTGAAGGTGGAGTACCAGGTCTAACCTACAGGTGGCAGCAGAGCAACATGCCCAGCAGGCATGTTTCTAAAGCAGACTTTACTGGCCCATTTTACCAGCAATGTAGGTCTCCCTTCATTTATCTGTCATCAATGGCAGGTTGTCAAGCAAATGGTTCTTCCTGGCTATGATAAACTATGGAAAAATCAATATGGTATATTTTTGTTGATAGATCAAGAACTTACATGAAAAATGGTGTCCTTTCCTTTTTCAGCTCCCACTTTCAAACTTCATGTTCCAGGATGAACCATGAGCAAAGGTAAGAAACTCGTCTTCAACTTTTACCTAAGCGATAAGTCAAATGTAACCTTAAATATATGCCTGTTTGAGTTTCACTGGACACATGAGTGTGTAAAGATTCAGGTCTTACTCTATTTGTGAGGACGCGTGGACATATGGGCCCAAGTGCTGCTGCATGTATAAGCAGTTGTATGAATGTTTGAAGGTGTGAGTGTTTTCGGACAGATGTTGTAACAACATGATTAGCCCTCTGGCTGCCAGTAGCTCTGTGTGAGGTTGCTATAGTGACTGTGGGCTGAATGTTGGGGAGGCCAGAGTGGAATATGAGGGTGCCGAAGATGAGGAGAGGGGGTGGAATAGCAAATGAAGTGTCTGGTGCCTCCGGCCTGTGTGTGACTGCATGTTTTTATTTCCGTGTTCAGGAGTGGGTGCATTCATGAGATGTTTATGCATGCCTGTTTGTGTATTTCTACAAAGAGCACAGCATTGAAGAGACTCTCGTCTGTGTAATTGAGAATTTGATTAAGATAACTCGCTCACAGATTTATAATCATACACATACAAAAACGTGTTCGGTCTGCGTCGGAGCCACAGAGACAGGGATGGCTGGAGCATAGGTTGAGGGTAACCTGCTCTGCTTCACAGACCAGCACCACGAGTTGAGCACTTTGTGTCACGTATCACTTAACCCTTAAAGGCCGAGCGTGCCGCCCGCGGCTTCATAGAGGTAGCGTTCTAAAATGCTTAATAACTTTGTAACCGCTAATCCTATCCATCTGATTTAAAAAGTGAGGTAAAGCGGCTATTCTAGGCTTTTTGCTGGTATCACTATGTCCTTTTCCGGGATTCAGAGGCTCCGACGTGATCGGGGCAACGTTATCACATTTTACAGCCTTGATTCGTCAAGGAGACCCACGCGGCCCCTCTGTCTGAGCCAAACAGCAAAGGTTTTAGACTAAGTCCCACCCCCCTGTGTCCGGATAGGTTTAAAATGTAAAGGTATGCTACCATCTTCTCGACCAATCAACATAGGTTGCTGTGTATGTTTTTGGCGGCGGGAGATAAACAAAGAGAAACAGAGAGACGAGAGAGTAATACTAAAGAAGAGTAATTCTGCCAGCGTAAGAGAAATAAATACAACACGAGATATCTAGATACAGTCACACACACACACACACAAATACACATACATACACACACACACATATCCCAAGACAAATTCAAACCAACATGTCAAAACGGCGTTACACTACGGAAGAAGCCGTAGAATGTATTTTGTCTGGCGGACCGCTTAGCGATGCAGCGGTGGATTCCTCAGATTCTGAAGCTGACAACTGGCAAGGAAGAGGAGTATGATCACGGGATTGATCCCTTCGAAGATAAAAAAGTGAGTAACTTTGCTTATTTCTTATTGTTTGTGTTGCATTTATCGGTTGTTGTTGCTGTATAACGCCGAAAATAATTAGTCCTAAGAGTTTTTATAATGGATGGCCATTTGCCGTAATTGTGTCATAAAGTGAAGTCCTGAGCTCAAGATTCACTATCAATAGAGGCTACTATTTATTTCAGTAAAAAAACGTCAAGTAATACCTTTCATTTATTGCCTCATTCCGCTTGCCCTCTTTGGTTGTTTGTTATGAGGTCTAATGTTATTATATTCATTGCATTACAATTCAGTTACTGATTCCATCAACTAGTAATGTTAGCAGAGGGATAAAGTGTGAATCAAATCAAAAGTTGAGACTGTGTTTAGAAAACAGATAGGATGACACTGGAGAAATAAAAGCAATAAAGGAAATAAAATAAATTCAGACATCTGTATATTTTCCTCCCTTTTATTTTAGTACAGAGGATGAGAGAGGGGATGCACAAGCCCCTGTCCCCATCAGTAGGCCTCCTTCAAACCGAGAGGGGAAAAGAATGCGGCCAGGAGGGTGCAGCATCCAGAAAAAAGGCCAAACCAATGCAATGCCAGCCCCCCTGACAGTGAAAGGGAGAGGAAGAGGAAAAGGGAAAAAAACATCTCTGACCCCAGAAGAGCCAGGAGCTGTTTGGAACGGACCTGAGGTGCCAGATACTGCCCAACAACTACCACACTTTTGCCCGAAAAGAGCCCCTGGAGTCCAAGGTTTTGTTGGTGTGGAGTATACTCCTGCACAAATATTTAGAAATTGTTTTAACAACCAAGCTGTAAATATCATCTGCAAGAACACAAACAAAAATGCTGAAAAGGAGCAGGCTAAGGGGGAAAAGTTTGTTTGGGAAAGCCGGTAAAATTCCTCATGTATGTCGGCCTTATGGCACTTCTAAAACTGCTAAAAGTAAGTGACTACTGGAGGAAGGGATCACACCTGAGTGTTCTCTTTCCTGCTCCTGTCATGACAAGAGACAGGTTCATGGCAATCAGCAGAGCTGTACATCTGAGCGACCCAGACCATGATGAATGTGGATACATTTCCTTTGCTCTTTATATATTTTTCTACTATTTTGGTTATAGTTTGAAGATCATTTGCTCTTTGTACTTTTGCACTTTCTATATATTCCTAATACTTTGTTTATAGTTTTAATATAATTTGCACTTTGTTAATTTGCACTTTGAATTTGTTTCACTGTTTGTGTTTGTATTTCAATGTTCAAATTATAATATATATCTCTGAAACAAGTTATTTTTGTTGCAATGTCATCTGTTATGGTTTAATTGTTTACTCTCTCAACCTTTTTTTGACAGAAGAAACATGATCAGTCATTTAAATATGGAAATACATTTCGTTTTAATTATTCCATATGATCCTAGGCGTTTTTCACTGAAAAACGCCTAGGATAATATTGTAATAAATAGCTGTAACTTGCTCAGGGAACATAATATGCAGATGAAATTTAATTTGAAAGCCTAAAACATCTAAATGCAGCTTTGTAAATAATAAAAAAGAAAATCCCTATGTTCCTGGCGGAGTAAACAGTAAAAAAACACAACATTTGTACTGGCGTTTTTGAAAAGTGCTGGTAAATTCAGCCATTATCACACAAAGTTATGGTAAAATTTGGACTTCAAATTAGCCAGACTTGAACTAGAGGTTCTCCTGAATCAAATGAGGTAAGGCACTTGATGCTGACTGCAAGAAAAGGTTAGAACAGGTTAGGAGAAACAAATAAATACAGGAGAGTCAGGCAGGCGAAAATTCCGTCTAGGTCTTTAAGGGTTAAATTCCCACGTCAACGGACCTTTTATTCAAATTTTTACAAAAGAAATGCCCGCTGCTTTTGAGAGCACAGGGCTCTAAAACGGTGTAATTTCAAGCACCATGGTTTTTAAGACTACGTTTTCTTTTGTTAAGTACCAGACAGTTTAACAACCTACGCCGCTAAAAAGTTCAGTTTTAAGGGGTCACTTGCACATGCTTCCAAAGTTAGGAGCTCTTATGGCATTCTTTGTGTAGTATTCTGAAACGGTATTCTACTTTTTCTCTCTTGAATCCAAATATACAGTAAAATCTCGATTCCTAACTCTGTGGAAGTTCATTGAATATTTATTATGTAAGACATCATTAGGCCAGGAATTGCTGTTACTCTAAAGTCAAAGTTGGTGGCTAATTGTAACTGAGTAAATGCAGCAAATAATGTAACAGAGAATTCTGTCATGACATTAAACTGTGACAAGTTTACAACATAACAGAGGTACAAGAGACACAATACACTAGTATTCTGTTTTCTGAGGGGCAGGAATGTTGTTTTTCTTGTCTTTGGTCATTTTGTTGATTAGGTTTATTTATTAATGTTAATGTATTTTCTTATTAGTTGTGTTTTGTGTGGGTGAGCGTGTGTGCGTATTTTTAGGGTACACTTTTCTGATCTATTTCTTTCCTTCCTGAGAATTCATTATAAGAAAGGTACGAAAATGCAAATGTTAAATGTTAATGTGAATATGAAAGACTAGGAGACAGGATCATTAAAGAAATATGTGACAGGGTGCATTACAATTTCAATATGTTAATCACTAAGGTGAAAAACATCCCATCAGAGCTCTGAATTAGTTAATGTGTTCCTGGGGGTCCCACCTTAAGTGAACCAATATGATTTTACGTAACAATTTAAAGCAACCCTGAGGCTCTGCTACCAGCACACAGACCACCGTCCTCTTGTCCTTCTGTATCTCCTGAGTGTGCAGCCTGCTGTGTATAATAGTCATGGTGTGAACTATAATGCACTGTACCATACAGGGCTGGCTTCACACAGGGATTACACCTAGATGATTCTTCAATAGAGAATTTAGTCTCGGATAGCCGAGCCTTAATCCGCGCCTGTGGAAGCGGACCACAGTGCTGTGGAGCTGTAGCCAGATATGACAGAGAACAGAGAGCAGCCAGATTAGTTCATACTAGGAAGACGGCTGAGCTTGAAGCCGCCTGACAGAGCGTCTCTTGACAGCTCCTCCCAAATCTCTCTACTGTCTCTAATGTAGTCTGAGGGAAACATTGTTCCTCTCTCTGTCTTTTGAGCTGTATTTTCTTTCCCTCGCTCTGTCCCTTTCTCTCTGTGTGAGGTGGGTGCGAGTCATAGAGAGAAAGAGAGTGTGTGTCTTATCGCTTCATTAGCCTGTAGACTTCTGGGTCATTCGTAGCCCTGCTCCCATTGTCTCAGAGGCTCTAATTACCCTCACGTGAGTCACGTCTGATAATTAGGACGGTCCGAGCAGGACACACACACACTGTTGGCGCTTACACATTTGGCACATATGCACACATACACACATCAGTCATTAGTGGAGAGCCTAACATGCAGTAAAGTGCTAATGGGATTATCATTGCTGAGGGTCCCCCTCATCAACCTCTTACTCCTCTCTATATTCATCGTAAGCACAATTCTGAGACACATAAAAGAACCAATTATTTCGATACGATATCTTCCCTTCTCTCTGTCTTTCTTTCTTTCTTTCTCTTCTTTCTCAATCTATTACTCATAATGTGCTCAATTGGTATATCAACATCAGAGGTACCATGTTGTTAAAACCAACTCAATGGT